GATTGGCTAATAATCACATGTAGATCTACAAATTGATCTACGAAACTAGCCAATTAGACGAATTTCAGCCCATGACGCCAGGGTGCGTTATTTTGCGACAATACGGTAATTCTGCCCAGTGTATAAAATTTATGTGCACAATTTTTTTTAGTGTGCACAATTTTTTAAATTGGATATGTACATGTGCTAATTAACATATAAGTTGTGCACAATTTTATGTACAAATTTTAAAATGTGCACAAAAAAATTTTTCCTATGTGCACATGTGCACAAAAATTTTTTTTCAGATTTTATACACTGATTCTGCCTAAATCACTTATGTTATAGCAATAATCAGTAAGTATATAATAATTTTTTACTTTAGAAATTTAAACATAACAGTATAAAGTATTTATGTAATTACAATAGTTAGTAAGTATAGTAATATAATTTTTATAATTATATAATATAGTATGATAATATGAGATAACAGCATGATAGTATGGTGGCAATTTTTTGCCAGAGTTAGCAGTTGGCTGTCATGTGCTGCGAAGCGGCACATGACAGACAACTGTTAACTCCAGCAAAAAATTGCCGTCGTATCATGCTGTATCTCAGAATTATCATGCTATATTGGTATTATAGCATGGCGGTCATTGATCATGAGCATTGCACTATTTATGTTTTTAAAATAACTTTTCAACTCATATGTGTTGCGTCATCAAAATATAATATAAATATTATAAAGTAGTTTATTTATTAATTTATATGCTCTTTCTTAAATTCTTTTCATAAATTTTTTCTTGTCAAACAATGCCAAAAGAAAGTACCAAATGTTTTACACAGCCAAATCAAAATGAAATAGATTTTTTTTTACAAAAATCTGTTGTTAAAAACACTGAAAAAATCACAAATAATTGGATATTACAATTTGAATGATATAGAAAAGAAAGTGGATACCAATTTCAACTTTATGAAGTACCATCGCTTACTGAATTAGAACAAGTTCTAGTTTTTTATTTTATCCAAGCAAAAAAGAAAAATGGTTTAGATTATATGGTTGCATCAATTTGATCAGCAATTAATGCATTTACATGTTACCTTAATGAAAAATCCAATCTAAAACCTGTTGATCTTCTTGATTGTTACAAATTTCCACAGTTGCACAAACTTCTTGAAGGAAAAGTATGATATCTTGCTGAAAAAGGATTAGGTGAAACTAAAGGATCGGGTGGTTTGAGTTTAGAAGAAATCAAAAAAATTCTTGATCATCATTCTACGTTTATTGGACATCTATGGGGATTATTAAAACGGGTGTTTTTTTGTAATGCTGTATTTCTTGGATTATGAGGTGGAGAGCACTATTCATTAAAAGCATCAAGTTTTATTAAACAGCAAGATGGAAATTATGAAGTTGTAATTTATAAGAGTAAAACAAATCAACGTGGACTAAACTCATTTTCAAATTGTGATAAAATATACTTACCTTCGAATAAAAAAATTATTCAATTGTATGAATTTTTTTTATCTAAGTGACCTCCCAAAGCTGATGAGAATTTTTATTTGCAACTACTTGAAGATCTTAAAGGTATATAATCACTATTAATATTTTATTATTGTTATGGTATTATTACGGTATTATGATTTTATTAATTATAATTTAGATCTTGAGCAAGCAGAAATCTGGTATAAAAAAGCACATATGGGAGAAAACCAGTTTAAAAATTTTATGCATATAATTGCACAAGAAACTGGTATTGAGTTGTTAAACAGGAAAATTACAAACCAATCAGGTCGAAAAACTTTGATTCAAAGTTTAAAAGATATGCGTAAATCTGATTACGAAGTAATGACAAATTCAAGACATAAAACAATTTGTGGAATGATATCATATAAGCGACCAAAAGATAACTTACAAATGAAAAACATTTCAGACCTATATAGTGCAATTGCACCAAATAATCAACTTGCTCAAAGTAATCAAGTTATCCAAAATGGTCAATTTACTCAAATTAATCAAATCACTCAAAATGATCAAACTACTCAAAACAATCAAATCAC